AGAAATTTGAAGTTTTCAAGATAGAACTCATCATACTGTCGTCATACTCGTACAGAGATATCCTGTTAGAATATGTCGCAATTATTGTTATCGTTAAGTCTATATTTATCCACGTCATTGAGGATGGGATTGCGAGCAGGATTCTGTAAAGTGTAGAATTTTTTTCTATGTATGATCCAAGGTGGAACTATTTCTAGAAGTGACATAGATACTTAGTACCATTGCCACCTACGGTCGGGCATCTCATTATTAGAATAACTGGATAGAAAAATTCTTGGTCAACCAGATCTCCTTGAACCTTTGATCAGCTAAAGTTTATACTTTTCAATTAATATACAGAAATCTCAATATATACATTATAATGACACGACAATCAACCAATCGATGACAAACCCCATCAGGAATTTTCATCATGCAATTATTTCGATGATCGCAATCACCGGCATACAGATAATACGATCTTATCATTGCATTGCAAAAGATTCATCGAAACGAATCTTCGGAGTGTTTTTATTATTTTTATTATTGTTAGTCGAATACCACATAGAAAGACGATCGCGATTTAAAGTGATCCATCAAGGAAGTCAAAAGTTATTGGTGCGTGGAAATGACGGCGCGCGTGCCCATGGCTTTGGAAAATTGAGTATCGAGGATCAGGGAGAGAAGCCTATACGTCCAGTCAAGCGACCGAAACGTATCGTTGCGAAAACAGCAGGTAATGGAGTTGAAGTGCGTTCGGCAGCTGCGAGCAATGAATACAGCCCGTGTACGTAGGAACATATGCGATCCAGTCTTGTTCAGAATATGAGTATATGGTTATAAGGGATGGGGACGGGTCGCCATGGTTTTGATTATAGAAGTATATAGCTATAGATATGTATAACAAACATGTACATGCATATATATATATACATACAGGACATAGGTTGCATGGGCACGGTTAGCATTAGAGATACCGTCTAGTCGAAAGGGAACGGCAGTGTTGTGGCGTGTAGGTGCGACTTCATTGAAAAGTAACTACTCGACGATGTGTATCCTTCCATGGATCCGATCCATGTACTGTCTATGTACTACGCGTGCAAGTTACATATGATACATACAGTAGGTGAAACTGGCGCGCGTCTCTCGAGAGCGATGCGAACCAGCGCATTTCTAGGGCATCGTCCAGGAGAAGACGAGCAGAAGCAACCAGGCATCATCAACTCGCGAAAACAGGTAATGGAGTCGAAGCACGTTCCCTTCGTTCATTCGGCAGCTGCGACTCCTGAATGCCCCGTGTGCGCACGGGAACATGTGCGATCCTCGTCTTCTCCGGGACATGTGTTCCTATAAGCCAGCTCCGTTCACGTCCTAAGGATAAACCGAAACTTCACAAAAATATGCGTACGCGACCGTAAGATATATATATATATATATATATATATATATATATTATTTACATATATATAATATACCCCAAAATGCTCTACATACATTGTACTCTCCAGTATGGAGTCCCTGCCATCAGTCTAGTCTACGTTGCGCCGCTCCTCTTCCACCCTTCTTTTCTCTGCAGCTTCGGCTCTTCCTTTATCGTTACCCTCCATCCAGCCGCATCCGGATCCCGTGCCCAAGTCTTTCGGGTTTCAGCTGGTGACCGTCGAGAACCG